TGCCTTCGGTCTCATGTTCACCGGTGAACTTGCTCAATGAAGAAGCTTACAAAAGACTGCTAGCGGACAAAACGCAAGAAATCGCTTACCTTTTTGTTCCGGAGACTTGTTTTTTCCGATCCACTGCCAATTTTCTTCAGCCACTACTCTGACATGAAGCACAACAAATGTTAATGAATTAATAAAGACTACTATTATGGTTGAGTAATCAGCTTTCAATGTCAGAGACTAAACTTGATTGATTGATTTCAAAGCGTGAAGGGATGTCGTGCGAACTAAAAGAAGGGCGATGGTTGCAGATGAAGCGTCTCCACCAGCGTTCCTCTCCAATGTATCCAACCTTACGCCACGATGAGATGATGGAAAACGGGCTTCTGAGTCATCCAATGTATTCACGGCGCAAATGAATGGAAGGAGAAGGCCGCCTTGAAAGATAGGAAGCTGAAAAGCGCATTTCGTCCCCAAAAAGATGAAAAGAGCTGACTTTGTTAAGATGATGAAAGGCGAATTCTCGCTAATTCTCACTAGTGTTATTGTTCTCTGCAGTTGGGGCTTTAACCAAAATTAGCCGTCTAGGATAGGTTGATCCACTAATTAGGCTTAAAATCGACGCAATTATCTTCTTCAATATAAGGTAACTTCTCTGATATCAGTTGTAATGCGGCCAAACTACTTTTCTGTTCATCTAAGTGCCAAAAACTTCTTATTAGCTGGTCTATGGGGAATGCAAAAATATACGAAATATCTGCACTGATGACAAAGTTTGATATGAATTTGTCTAATGAATTTTTTGTGTTGATAAAGAATTCATTGTTTTTAGGTCAACGAAAAAGACCTAAGGAGCATTGCTCAAGGAATGGTGAAGATTATACCGAAATTGTCGGAGGCAAAAGGCATAGGTCAGCAATTGCGATTAAGTGAATTCAGCTGCTCATTCCTTAATTTCTAAAAAAACTAATTAACGTATATCAAAATATTTCAGTTCTCGTCGTGACAGACGCAATGGCAGTGAAAATGTTGAGAGATCTGTCTACGGGATACAATCCAGGAGACCGCACTGAGAATGTTTGGATTTGATTGATTCGTGCAAATTACTTCTTTGATTGTGCTAGAGAAAGCAGCTATCTATAGGTAAATATAATTTTTCTCTAGGATCTTCGTAAAAGCGCTGCTCATGGTTATCCTGCAATGTCCTCCATTGTTCTCAATGTTCGTAAACGTAACGGCAAGGTAATTGCTTGTTTTCAATTGTTACTAAAGCTATAGGTAATTTACAGATAGCGTTAGTGAAAGAGTAGATTGTAGGATGCTTGACAGCTTTTCAATGAGTAAAAAAAACCTTTTTTTGATACTTTCGTTTTCACCAAGTAGTCTAGGAATATATCAAAAATGACATTTTCCACTTTTCCTTTCTGTTGCAGCTTTGTTTCAGCCGTCAGTATCTACAAATTTCCTGAAACATATTGCTGAAATGATTTTTAAGATGCTCAGGTCTTCTGATTTTTTTCAGACACGCGTTCATCCGTCTCGCCTATTCATGCGCCCTCTAACATCCATTGGCGAATGTACGCAGGCCGACTTCGACGCAGACAACTACAGAGCTAAATAGATATAAAGATCGATAATTGATTATTGATCGGTGAAAGAACTAAATCGATCATTAAACGCTTTTGTGGTAGTA